ATTTGATTTCAATTCATTTCAATTTTTACCCAGAAAATCATTTTTTTCTGAATTAACAAGATAATTACAAAATATGAGAAGACGGTTGTTTTTCTGAGTTAAAGATAAAAATCCACCCATTTTTCTCTATTAGGTTTTAAGAGTTTTCTTAGTTTAAAAGTCCCTGAAAGCGTCTGCTGTGTTTCCAGGTGCCTGCAGGCGAGTCTGACATCCAGGGCTGCGCTTTCCACGACGGCTTCTCTCCAGCCATCGGCGTCTTCGGGACGGAGGGGCTGCACATCTCTGACAACGTGGTCCACCACACTGTGGGGGAAGGTGAGCGTCCTCTGGGCCACCATCACCGCCGCCACCGCTGCCCTGCCTCACTGGCTCCTCCCACTCTGCAGGCATCAGGATCCGGGGCAGCAGGACAACGCTAACCAGGAACCTGGTGATGATGAGCCTGTGGCCGGGATCCTACCAGGACAGAGAGGAGCCCTTTAACTTCGACTGGAACGCCGCCATCGAGGTTCGTCCCCACCAAAAGAAGCAGCCAACCTATAACAGGACCCACAGAATCCCGTTACAGCTGGGACAGTGCATCGTTTCTGTTAGAAACCCTAAAAAAGCTGTTTGAAATAAGCTTCAGCTTCAACTAGCAGCTTCCATTCTTCCTTTGCTTGTTTTTCTCAGACCTTCTCAAACAAAATCTGGTTGTTTCTGCTTTATTTTTGCCCCTTTGTGCTCATTTTATGACAATTTCTGGTTTCTTTCTGTGTTCTTTTGGTTATTTTTCCTGAAAAATTTATGAAATGTGATGATTTGATTTGTTTTGGGAATTTATTAGGTGATTTTTCTTGCCATTAGCTTTCCCTGTTTCCATCCCTTAACTTTAACTCATACGGTACATTCTAACTGGTTCTGGATGCTTTTTAATGAACACAAAACAAGAAAACATCTTTATCTATGTTAGAAATCTGAGTTATTTCTGAGTTACAGCCAAAAGAAGAGCTGCTAAAAGCTCCTTTTCCTTCAGAATCAGCCTAAACCTCACCTCTCTGTTCCTGATAGCAGCCTCCATTGGGCCTCTGGTGGTTTTCTTGGGTCCGGCTGCCCTTCGGGGGCACAAAGTGCCCTTCTTTGGCTCAGCTCTGGATCTTTACAGCCTGTCTCTGCCCTCATCAGGTGATCGAGGCCACCGGCGTGGTGCTGCAGCACAACATCGTGGCTGGCTTCCAGCGGGTGGCCTATCGCGTGGACGGGGAGCCCTGTCCTGGGTCTTCTGGCGCCAGTGATGGCGGCGAGGCCTGGGTCCACAACGAGGCGCATGGCGGCCTGTACGGCGTCTACCTCAACGGGGACGGCTTGCCCGGATGCAGCCTCATCCAGGGCTTCTTCGTCTGGAGGAGCTTCGACTACGGCATCTACTTCCAGGTGGGGAAGCAGATCCAGAACAGGGGGCTTGTAGCCCATCCCCCACAGGTCATGTGACCTGAAGGAGCTTTTTGAATTCATAGTATTTATTTATTAAGATAATTTTAAAAAAATGATAAATTACTTGTTTTTCTGAGTTAGAGAAAACAAATCCCCTGAAAAAAACTTTTTTTTTCATTAAATAAAGTATTAGATTTGAATTCATTTTAATTAACCTATTTATCCCAATAGAAAACCATTTTTCTGAAGTACCAAGATAATTAGAAAATGTGTATAAAAGATAGATAGATAGATAGATAGATAGATAGATAGATAGATAGATAGA